TTCAGTGTAAATGAACTTGCAGCAGAGATTGTAACCGTCATTAAGGGACTTTAGAAGTCCTTTTCCATTAAGTGTTTTTATGTTGTCAGTCCTCTGCACAACATACATTCACAGAGTTATGTAACTATTAAAACATGTAGCATGTATTAACTTTATAACGCTAATAGCATTTGCATATTACCAAACAAAGGAATGTTTTTTTAGACATTTATCTTACTGTAATTTACCTTAATTATCCTTCTTATTGTTTGTATTTGTTATTTCTGCCTGCTTTTATTATTTTATTTAGTTTTTAGTATAACTCTGATTAAATAATATCGTTATACCTGTAAAATTGATTGTATTGTATTTTATTATAATTTTTATCGTCGTATTCTATTTTTAAATAAAGTTTGATTGATTGATTCATATGCATGTGACAGCCAATTGTAGCGACAAACCATAGACTGCAAAAACAATCCAGAAACCCAACCCAGTGATGCTTCAGAAATTCTTTAATAACAAGTTATTCTGTCATGAAAAAGTGTTGACTCGTTGTACAGAGATAATCAGAAATCAACCGCTCATGGCATTTAATCATGTAAGAGGCTAAAAGGCTCAATTCTGTGGAGAGGAAATATTTATTCTACTGAACATTACAACTTTCTTACACAAACTATAATAAAACTTTGCTCTTGTGAATTCAGGTAAACCCTGATTGCGAGCCCCGAGCTACACGTAACTCCTATCAGACCTCACACTGTAATCTCTTTACGGTTCCCAAAGGACACGATAAAATATCTTCCTCAACAATCACAATTACATGAAGGCAATTTCCCAAAAGTGTGTATGTTCACTTTGCAGTCCTTTTGGGGAGGAGACACTTAAAACAGACCCAGGCTTTTATTAAAAAACCCAAAGCTTCACTGATAGAAATATTCAAGCCGAGTGTGAACCGGAGCTCCTGAACATTTTATCCCGGTGTTAGTCTCCCTCCACCGGTTGCCTGTGAAATCTCTCACTGGTTATTAAGTCCTACTTCTAACTGACAACGTATTACACAGCTTCAATATGTCACTGATGTATTTAAGCCGACCGACGCTTTCCACTCAGAGAGAACCAGTCTGCTCCGGACGGAGAATCCAGCACCGTCTCAGGACCCGATAAATCTACATCTCGCTTACAGGGGTCCAAACTGTCTTTTTGTGTTTATCTCACTGCAGAGTCTTATTATCATTAGCTGAGGTTTGAAGATTGAAGATTTGGGGTCGGCTGTTTACAGAGGATGTGAGTGGTGGGCTGAGTCCGACCGAGCCGTCCCCAAAGTCATAATGATCCAAATGTCTGTGAGAAATAATAATAATATTAATAATAATAATAATAATAATTAGAATGTTTCTCTGCGACCCCGAATTACAAACTACAAGGGAACTTAGGATCTCAGATTGAACTAACTCAGAACATTTCCATTTTATCTTTAACTATAAAATCACAGTACAGTGATTTTATAAAAACTCACTTGAGCCACTGATCATCAATCAGAAGGTTATTCATTAAATTACTGAATTAAAGTTACTCCAACCTCAAGGCTCTGAGTCGAAACCCTTTTGGAAACAGTTTATTATTCAATATCTTCAATAAACCAACACCTGAGACTACACCTGCTGCCCCGTTACAATAATTGGTTTTCATTCTGGAGGTTTAGGCCTGTTTGGTTGCTGAACATCCCTTTTGGAGCTGACCCTGTCCTGTTGGTACACAGAGCCCTCCCCCGTCTAATCCAAACTATCAACGCTTCGATTCCCAGTCCAATAAAACTGATAAAGAGCTTCCCAGGGTGCCGGTATCAGGACAGGGCATCACTGAGTTTGTGTGGATGAAAGCAGAATGGGGTTCTCGGAGGATATTAAACCCCGGCTCATAATTTCTTTTCTTCCAAACCTGAGGGGACGGAGCCAAGAACCGCGGCCGGGTCTTTGGTCTGAGGAACAGGAAAAGTTTAAGAAAAGCCTCTAAAAGTCACAAACTTTAAAGATTATAAGACAGGAATCAGGAAATAAGGGCAGCAGAGGAGAACAAACATCTGCAGGTTAAAGTCAAATCTAAGACTAATTATTACCTCATAGATATTCTAATACCTGTATCAAATCATATCGTCACAGCAGATTATAACAATAGTTCCTAATGATATAATTAGATTAACAAAGCCAGGACAAAGATTAGCAGCAGAAAAATGAATGGATGGATTCTACATGTGTAGATTTTTAGGGTTTTAGTAGAAACAGTAGGACAATTATTCTTTCCAAGGAGGGCGAAGCTCTACTCTGACTCTGATTGGCTAATACTAATTTCAGGTGATTATACACAGATGAAAATATGAATATTATATTACATTTCTGCCATATTTAGCAAATAATACATAAATCTTAAATATATATAACATATAAAATGATCTGTAAACTCAATATAAATCAATATGATTTCTGATAATCTGACTTTTGGGTATTTTTCCGTTAAAATTTTAGACAGATTTATAAAAACACTTTTTTCTTGAAGTGAAAGTGAACTTGGTTGGTTTTATATTATATATTTATTTTGTACATTTCACAAACAAGACGTGCCTGTTGGTTGTGGATGTTTTGGACGGTGAGTCACTGCTGATGTTCTGTCCTTCTGTTTGTCCTTGAATATCTTTGTGTTTCCTGACTTCTTCTGTTTATTCAAACTCGTATTTATTTTCAGCAGTGAAGACTTGTTTTTTTTTATTTAACAACAGTTCATTTAAGTCGATGAAAAACAGGATCCACCGACGGCATCTGACTAAAATATTGACTTAAAATCAGCAGCAGGCAGCTTGTTTTCAACACCTGAGCTGGAAAATGAGAAGGAAGGACACCAAAGGACGAGAAAGAGCCAGTAGAAGAAATGTTGAGGGGACCAGGTTTACACCCACTAAGAGACAGTTTGTGTTGGGCAGAGGGGACCAGGGACCCTGACACTACCAGGATTTCATTTGTAGAAAGAGAACTGAAGTGAGACCTGAACTTTCAAAATGTTTGTTTGTAAAATTCATGATGTTTTTTTTCTAATTTTGGCTTTCCAAAACGGTCTAACGAGAGGCTGTATTCAGTCACAGAAGCGAGCGCAGTAGAGGATAGACTCAGGAAAGAAAGATGAACTTTCAGGGAAAACATCTTAAAGATCTGAATGAGTCCACTGACCGGAGCACTGCAGCTGGGAGAGAATCTGAGCTCCTTCGAACTGGTGGCTGACCATCTTCAGGTTTGGTTTAATGCAGCGGATGAAGCTGGAGCCCTGCAGCAGAGAGAGACAGGGTGGAGACACAAGGACAGAAATCATTACAGTAACAACAGAGGACACAGGTCGAATCAGAAAGTGACTCAGGACATGAAGCTCTGTTTGCCTCTCAGGAGACAAACAGAGCTTCTTCACTGCAGCTGCAACATGAAATCAACCAGCTGAAAGGAGAGGAGAATAAACACTGACCGTGCTGCGGAGCTTCTCCAGAAGAATATTCAGCTGCGTCTGCAGGAAAAAGAAAACAGTTTTTATTTAACAATCTGTGTGATCGTAAACCTCAATGCTTTATTTATGTCAGATACCCAACACAGGATTACATTTTATATTCTTTTACTTTTAAATAATCTGTTTATGAATAAAATCTCTAATAAACTGGACAACAAATAGCAAAAAGGAAAAAAAAAAGAAATTCATTCAGATTCAAATTCATTTATCCAAAGCACAGGCGGCTAAAATACAAATCAATTTTTGTGGACAAAGTAGATTATTTCCAGAATATCTGGTCATCAGCGGAGACTCAAACTGAGAGAAACAAAGCAGAGAACAGGATGGAAAGATGAGTTTTCAGTAACCAGGCTTCATTCAGCGATTAGCCAGGAGCCAGCTGAGTCAGGAACGCCAAGATGGCGACGGCAGTCAAACAATCTTCACTATGAACACCTCGAGGAAACTCTTCTCTACTGCATACGACTGTTTGCTCTCAGCAGCAGATCAGATATAAAGTCAAACAAATGCGTGATTAAATCTCCTGATCTGTTCTGAGGCATAACTCCACTGCCAGCACGAACACTTTGGCCGACACCACGGTCCTCACCGTGGCGGCAGTGCCAGACTTTCATCGGGTTATTGTATTACTGTCTGGAACGAGAGGCAACAATTAATCTGAGGCTGCTGCTGAGGAAAGAAAGCCCTGGTCCCTGATAAGCTTTTGTAAAGAGAAGCCTCACAGTTCGGTACGTGTTCGCAGGAATCCTCTGCAGGCTGTCTCGGGTCCGAAAGGATTCATTCTTTACATTTAATGGAATAATGGCAACTTTCATCATCATCACCCTCTGCGTTGGTTGGCTGAACTCAGCTGGGCGGTTCCTGATAATGTTTTCGTCTTAAATTTTTCAGAATGTGCATTTTTTATTTTATTTTCACATCTTAAGTTTCTAAACTAAACAGAAACTGCTACAAAAGAAATGCTTCACTCATCAAACTCATATATCCTCGTAACTGGTTACTCGCTGATGATGCATTATTCAAGCTCGTTCTAGCTAATTACTGCAGACACGAGGTGCGCTGTGTGAATGTAAATGTATGTAAATGTAAATAAATGTATACTAATTAGGGTGAATAATGGAACGACACTGGAGCCAAAGACAATTAAAAATGAACATGTGGCAGCTGCTAACAGCTATTAGCATAACAACGGTGTCCTCACCTGTCCAACCTAATCATACCTGTGTCCTCTGGCTACAACCACAGCACGGTAACAACTACACCTGCAAACATGGTGCCAACAAGCCGCATGCCAGCTGACTTTAAAGGTTGGAGCTGTAAGATCTCACATCCTCATTGGCTAACTTACGCCAACTTAACGTTAGTAACAGGATAGTTATTGTGTGATCAGATTATTGACAGTTTATATAATGAACAGTGTCTTAACCCTGCATTCTATATAAAGGCCAGCAGGGGGCAGCTCCACTGGCTGCAATAACACACTGATACCATTCAGTCTTATGGAGAAATGAGTCGACTTCTCAGTTGATTTATGAGCTCAGTAAACAGTTTCCTGATGAGTTTCTGCTCTCAGTCTCTA